CTCTCCACTCTCCCTTTGTCTATACTTTATCCTGTTATACTAATATAAATCCTTGCTAAAACTTTCACCTTGTGAGACTCCTCATTGTGAGACACCTTGAAATGCTTTTCAATGTTTGTGGGTCTCAAGGACCTATGATTTTGCATAGAAACTGGGAACCTGTGGAAGCCCCTTCATCTGTCCTCTGGTGACATAATAGATGGAAAGAGATTATAAAAATCACAGCAGAAATCAATGAATTGGAGTAAAAAATAATAAAACAAATCAATGAAACAAAACTGTTCTTTGAAAAAATGATCAAAAAACCTTTGCCAAATTAACTAAAAGAAAAAAGGTGAAGTGAATTAATAAAATCAGAAATAGGAAAGGAATATTAAAACAGACATAAAATTCAGATTATCATATGGAAATACTTTAAAAACCTGTATTCCTGCAAATTGAAGAATGAAGAAGATATACAGAAATTTCCTAATATATATGACATACCAAAATTGAATCAAGAGGTTATTAAAAACTCAAACAGATCTATAACAAGTAATGAAATTGAGACACTTATAAAGAAACTCCTAACAAAGAAAAGCCCAGGCCTTCATGGATTATTCTATCAAACATGTAAAGAAAAACTAACACCAATCTTCCTCAAACTATTTTGTAAATTACAAAAGAAAGGAATACTATCAAACATTCTACAAAGCCAGTATTACCCTAATACCAAAGCCAGGTAAAGGCACATCAAAAAAAAAGAAAAAGAAATTTACAGGCCAATATCCTTCATGAACATAGATTCAAATATCCTCAATAAAATACTTGCTACCAGAATCCAACAGCATAGGAGGTTGGCAGCATGGCTCAAGTCATAGAGCAACTGCCTAACAGGCTTGAGGCAATGAGTTCAAACCCCAAGATCACCCAGAAAAAAAATGAAAGAAAAAAACTTTTTTAAAACTCTAACAGCACATTCAAAAGATCATATACCATAATCAAGTAGGTTTAATTTCAGCGATGCAAGAAAAGTACATTTGCAAATCAATAAATGTAATACAACACATAAAGAGAAAGAAGGACAAAAGCCACATCATCATATCAACAGATACAGAAAAAGCCTTTGACAAAATTCAACATACTTTCATGATAAAAGCTCTGTAGAAATTAGGAATAGAAGGCACATTCCTCAATATTATAAAGGTTATATATGACAAACCTATAGCCAACATCATACTTAATGGAAAAAAATTGAAACTATTTCCTCTAAAGTCAGGAACAAGACAAGAGTGTCCATTCTTCCCACTCTTATTCAACATAGTGCTGGTATTCCTAGCCAGAGCAATAAGACAGGAGAAAGAAATACAGGGAATTCAACTAGGGAAGGAAGAAGTCAAATTGTCCCTATTTGCAGATGATATGATCCTATACCTAATAAACCCTAAAAACTCTTAGATCTCACAAACACTTTTAGCAAAGTAGCAGGATGCAAAATCAACACACAAAAATCAGTAGCATTTCTATATGAAAAAAATTGAACAGTCTGAGAAAGAAATCAGGAAAACAAAACCGTTCGCAATACCTTCAAAAAATTAAAATACCTATGAATAAAAAGGAGGTGACCAACTATACAATAAAAACTACAAATCATGGAAGAAAGAAATCAATGAAGACATCAGAAGATGGAAGGAGATCCCATACTCATGGACTGACAGAAATGATATTGTGAAAATGTCTATAACTACCAAATGCTTTTTTTTCTATATGCTCAATGCAATCCCTATCAAAATTCTTCAGCAAGAGAGAAAAGTCAATCTTAAAGTTCATTTGGAAGGACAAAATAAAATACCTCAAACAGCCAAAGCAATCCTAAGCCAAAAGAGCAATGCTGGAGGTATTGCAATACTTGACTTCAAACAATACTATACAGCCATAGTAATAAACACAGCATAGGACTAGCACAAAAACAGACATGAAACCAGTGGAATAGAACAGAAGACCCTGACACAAACCCATGCAATTACAGCCATGAGATTTTCAACAAAAGTGCCAAAAATATGCACTTGAAAAAAAGACAACTTCTTCAACAAAATGGTGCTGGGAAAACAGGATTTCCACCTGCAGAAGACTGAAACCAGATCCCAGTCTCTCACCTTGTACTAGCATCAATTCAAAATGGATTAAAGATCTTAATCCAGGAAAAAATAGGGAATACATTGGGCCACATAGGCATAGATAATAACTAAATGGAACTACAATTGTTCAGCAATTAAAAGCAAGTATTGAAAAATGGGACTGCATGAAACTAAAAAGCTTCTGTCCAGCAAAGGAAGCAGTTACTAGACTGAAGAGACAGCCTACAGCATAGGAGAAAATCTTTGCCAGCTATCTATCTGACAAAGGACTAATTACCAGAATATACAAGACACTCAAAAACTAGCCTCTCAAAGAATCAACAATCCATTGAATAAAAGGGCAAATGAACTGAACAGCCAGTTCACAAAAGAAGAAGTACAAATGGCCAATAAACACATGAAGAAATGCTCAACATCCTTGACCATAAAGGAAATGGAAATCAAAACTACATTGAGATTCCATCTCACCCCAGTCAGAATGGCTATCATCAATAAAACAAAGAACAACAACTGCTGGTTAGGATGTGGGGGAAAAGGAACACTTCTACACTGATGGTGGGAATAAAACTTAGTGAAACAGCTATGGAAAACAATGTGGAGGTCCCTCAAAATAATAAAAATAGAACTACCATAAGATCCAGCAATACCTCTCCTAGGTATATATCCAGAAGAATGTATTGCAGGATGTGATAGAGCCATTTGCACACCTGTATTTATTGTAGCACTATTTATAAAAACCAAGCTTTGGAAGATACCCAGTTGCTCCACAACTAATGAACAGATTAAGAAAATGTGGCATATATATGCAATGGAGTTTTATTCATTCATAAAAAAGAATGAAATTATGTTGTTTGCAGGTAAATGATGGAAGTGGAGAACTTACGTGTTAAGCAAAGTAAGCAAAAAAAAAACAAAGATTGCATGTTTTCTCTCATATGTGGAACCTGTACCTATAAGTTAAATGAATTTATAGAAACATATACAACTCTGTGTGTGTGTGTGTGTGTGTGTGTGTGTGTGTGTGTGTGTGTGTGTGAGTGTGTGTGTGGTCCTATATGTATACACACACATATATATGTGTATTAGTGAGTCCATCTGAGGGGGCTATAGTAGGTGGAAGAGAGAAAGAAAATATTAGAGAATGAAAAATATTGAAACAACCCATCTATCTTTGAATAAAATGTACACTAAATTTTTTTAAATGAAGGTCAGGAGGGAAAAATAAATCTTTTCCAGCAGTGGGTACTAATAGGAGCAGAGTGGATACAGGAAAGGGGGAATGAGGGTGTATATGGTGAATGTGTTTTATATCCATATATGAAAATAGAAGAATGAAACCTGTTGAAAACTGTGATAAGAAAGGGGGGGAAGGGAGAATAACAGAAGGAGTAAATCCAACTAAAATATATTTTAATCATATATATAAAAATCACAATGGGTCCCCCTCTACAACTATTATATGCTAATAAAATCATAAATAAAAATGATATTGTATAAGCATTTATGTAAATGTCACAATATACTCCTTGTACAACTATAATTTTCTAATAATAAAAAATATCAAAAAGAACTTTTCAGTTTTTTTGTGATTTTTTTTAATTTTTATTTTATTCATATGTGCATACAATGTTTGGGTCATTTCTCCCCCCTTCCCCCAACCCCCTCCCTTAATCCCCCTTACCCCTCACTACCTGGCAGAAACTATTCTGCCCTTGTCCCTAATTTTGTTGAAGAGAGAGTATAAGCAATAATAGGAAGGACCAAGGGTTTTTGCTAGTTGAGATAAGGATAGCTATACAGGGAATTGAGATGCATTGATTTCCTGTACATGTGTGTTACTTTCCAAGTTCATTCTTCTTTTTTTTTTTTTTTTCATTTTTCTTTTATTATTCATATGTGCATACAAGGCTTGGTTTATTTCTCCCCCCTGCCCCCACCCCCTCCCTTACCACACACTCCACCCCCTCCCGCTCCCCCCCTCAATACCCAGCAGAAACTATTTTGCCCTTATCTCTAATTTTGTTGTAGAGAGAGTATAAGCAATAATAGGAAGGAACAAGGGGTTTTGCTGGTTGAGATAAGGATAGCTATACAGGGCATTGACTCACATTGATTTCCTGTGCGTGGGTGTTACCTTCTAGGTTAATTCTTTTTAATCTAACCTTTTCTCTAGTTCCTGGTCCCCTTTTCCTATTGGCCTCAGTTGCTTTAAGGTATCTGCTTTAGTTTCTCTGCATTAAGGGCAACAAATGCTAGCTAGTTTTTTAGGTGTCTTACCTATCCTCACCCCTCCCTTGTGTGCTCTTGCTTTTATCTTGTGATCAAAGTCCAATCCCCTTGTTGTGTTTGCCCTTGATCTAATGTCCACATATGAGGGAGAACATACGATTTTTAGTCTTTTGGATCAGGCTAACCTCACTCAGAATGATGTTCTCCAATTCCATCCATTTACCAACGAATGATAACATTTCGTTCTTCTTCATGGCTGCATAAAATTCCATTGTGTATAGATACCACATTTTCTTGATCCATTCGTCAGTAGTGGGGCATCTTGGCTGTTTCCATAACTTGGCTATTGTGAATAGTGCTACAGTAAACATGGGTGTGCAGGTGCCTCTGGAGAACTTTTTAGGTTTTAACGGGGAAATCTAGTAAACAAGGAGCTAGCAGGTTTGAAGACAATTCTATAGATGTATCTTAATTTTCCTTATGGCAAAACAAAAGACTTAGGCATATTTCCCATATGCTCAAATCATGATGCTCTAGGCAGGACTGTGGTGTTTAAGCATTCACTTCACCATTTTGCACATACAGAATTTTGGACACTTCAGAAAAAAAGACAATGAGTGTTTTTTTTTTAATAAGAAAGGATCTTGGTCTTACCTGCATCCATGGAGAGCTCAAAATCATGATAAATTCATTGAGTTTTTCCATTAGGGTAAGAAAACTCTGGTCTTTATAATCAAATTGATTTTGGAAAATAATAGAGCTCATAACATTGCAGGAAGCACACTCCAGGATAAAGGTGGGATCACAGGATGAGCCTGAAAAATTGGAAGCAATTTTAAAATACCATTAAAATATACACTTCCTCATTGAGAAAGAATATAGGAAAACAATTCCATTTACAATAGCCTCAAAAAAATCAACATCTAGGAATAAACTTAAGAAAGTATGTAAATATCCTCTATAAGGAGAACTACAAACCACTGAAGAAAGAGATGGAGAAATACTACAGAAGATGGAAAGAACTCCCATGCTCATGGATTGGTAGAATCGATATAGTAAAGCTGGATGTACTACTAAAAGCAATCTACACGTTCAACACAATTCTCATCAAAATCCAAACGACATTCATCACAGAGATTGAAAAATCTACCCTAAAGTTCATTTGTAAACATAAAACACCACGAATAGCCAAGGCAATACTGAGCAAAAAGACCAACGCTGGAGGTGTCATAATACCCGACTTCAAACTATGCTATAGAGCCATAGCAATAAAAACAGCATGGTACTGGCACAAAACAGATATAAGAACCAGTGGAACATAATAGAGGACCCAAATATGAATCCACACAGCTATGTCCACCTTATTTTTGACAAAGGCACCAAAAACATACAATGGAGAAAATACAGCCTCTTCAACAATTGTCACTGGAAAAATGGTTATCTGCCTGCAGAAAACTAAAACTAGATCCATGCCTGTCAACCTGGACTACTATCCACTCAAAGTGGATTAAGGACCTTAATATCAGACCCAAAACCTTGCAGTTAGTACACAAAATAGCAGGGAATACCCTGGAAACAAAAGGTATAGGCAAGGACTTACTCAGTAGAACTCTATACCAGCCCAGCAACTAAAAGAAAGGATGGACAAATGGGACTACATGAAATTAAAAAGCTTCTGCACAACAAAAGAAATGGTCTCTAAATGAGAGTAGAAGAAAATATTTGCTAGCTACACATTAGAAAAAGGGCTGATAACCAGAATATACAGGGAGCTCAAAAAAACTAAACTTCCCAAAAATTAATGAACCAATAAAGAAGTGGGCAACTGAACTAAACAGAACTTTTTCAAATGAAGTCCAAATGGCCAAAAACACATGAAAAATGCTCACCATCCTGACCATAAAGGAAATGCAAATCAAAACCACACTAATATTCCACCTCACCTCTGTTAGAATAGCTATCATCAAAAACACCAACAACAACAAATGTTGGCAAGGTTGTGGGGGATAAAGAATCCTTATACACTGCTGGTAGGAATGTAAGCTAGTACAACCACTTTGGAAAACAATATGGAGGCTTCTTTAAAAACTATCTATAGATCTGCCATATGATCCAGCAATACCACTCCTAGGGATAAACCCAAAGGAATGCAACTCAGGTTATTTTATTACAAAGGCACCTGCATACCCATGTTTAGTGCAGTGCTATTTATAATAGTCAAGCTATGAAAATAGCAAAGATGCCCCACTACCAATGAATGGATTAAGAAAATGTGGTATTTATACACAATGGAATTTTACTTAAACACAAAGAAGAATGAAATTTTGTCATTTGTAAGTAAGTGGATGGAACTGGAAAACATCATCTTAAACGAGGTTAGCCAGGCTCAGAACACCAAAAATCCCATGTTCTCCTTCATATGTGGATTATAGACCCAAAACAAATGCAGTAATATTATTGGACATGGGTCACACACTAAGGGGAGAAAGCACATGGGAAGAGTAGGGAAAGGGAAAGAAACCTAAAACATGAAGAAAACCAAAACGTGGTTGTTGTGCTCACTGTAGAGGAGCAAATAAGTAATCTTAAACTGACAGAAGCCACTGTGAGAAGGGGACCAGGAAGTAGCAAAAAGGTGTGGCAGAGATGAACCAATATGAGTTGCAATACACAAGTGCATGGAAGCAATGCTAGGAATCTCTCTGTATAGCTGTCTTTATCTCAAACTAGCAATGTCTAGCTATGTCTTTCTTATTATGTTCTATGTTTTCTCTTCAACAAAATCAGAGAACAAGAGCAGGAGTGGGGGAGGGTTGTTTAAGGGGGAGGAGGTGGGACAAACAATGTATACACATGTAAGTAAATGTAAAAACAACAAAATAAAAGAAAGAAAGAAAAACACTTTTTTTTTTTTACAGGCAAAGTCACTTTAGAAATTTTAAGCTACATCTTATTATAAATTCCCCTAGTAACAATCATCAAACATTAATAAAATCAACAGATCACTTTTACCTTAAATCTGAGTTAGACCCATGTGTAGCAACACACAACTGTAATTCTAGCTACTCTGGAAACAAAGACAGGAGGATGGTGAGTTGGAGGCCAGCCCAAAGAAAGCTAATGAGACTCTACCTCCAAAACAAAAAAAAAGGGTGGGGATACAGGTTAAGTAGTATAGTGCTTGCCCAGCAATCAAGAGGCCCTTGGTTCAGGGGCTAGAAAACCTGAGGTAGCTATTATAACCTAGCCAGACATAGTTAAAGTAATTTAACATATTCAGTTATCCACTGGCTTTACTTAGACTCTTTTATCCCCAGTGGCTGATATTTTGGAAGGAAAAAGAATTTTTAACTTAATTCAAGTATTCAGAGGAAAATTACATCCGTCTTCAAAGCCTATAGATAATACAGCACTGAATACAAAGGGAGAGAATAGTGATAATCTGGAGAATTTTATGTATAATGAGTAGTTGAAAGAATCATGTACTTAACGACTAGAGAGACTATTAAGGGAGAATATTTTAGTGAGTTTGTTAGAAGGAATAACTGTGAAAGCAAAGTGAATCCTTGTTAATTAAAAAAATAAAAACTAATACAAACAACAGTGTGACAGATTTGTTTAAAAATATAATGTGAACTTTTTATTTCTAATATAAATTCAGCTAAGGCAATAAAGACATAAAATTGATGAATGAATTCTATTATGTCTCATTTAAAAGTCTAAAAAATGATGATTTTTCTTTCTTAGGAAGTAAATATCCATCATCACCAAACAAACTCCAAATTAAATTTATTGGGTCAAATTGGCTTCTGTGGACTGGATATGTTTGATGAACAGTAATCAACACAATAATAATGCTTTTAAATACATTTAAATTTTTTTTCTCACATAGGCCAAATGTATTATTTTAGGGTAAAGAAATTACATTATTAAATTTTTTCTTTTTTGTGGGGGTTCTCTACAAGGAAATTTTTATAATCATATGATTAATACATTTTACATGTAAAGAGCTCCTAAATTCACTTCTGCATACTCTAAAATTACAGTGAATTGAATCAAAACTATACTGAATATTTAATAGGACAATTTGCACAATAGGAAAGCCATATTGCAAGAGCAGTCATGTCTGTACACACAGCAAAATGCACAAACACTCCCTGGCTCTCCATTTCAAACTATACTTCCTCCACAGAAGGGCTGACAGAAAAGACCCAGAATGAAAGATCTGAACACCACTGAATAGTTTACAAAAACTTAGAGAAGATAACTGAAAGAGGGACTGCAGGAGGTCAAGTAGACACTCCTCCCCAGGAAACGCCCATCTGCATCTGAAAGGCATTTCTGCCTTCAGGCAATATGAAAGAAGAAGGCTATAAAACCCAATCCCACCTGACCCATGGGACCACCGGTTTCTGGGTCCCCATTATGCAGTCTTTCTCTTCTCTTCTCTACAAATAAAATCCAACCTCTGCTGTTGGAGTCTGTCTATGCTTTCATTCTCAGAGCAGGCTCAAGAACCCTGAGCACCTGAAATTCCTGCATGTGTCATCTATGCATCAGAGCAGTCTGCTAAGGTAGTGGTACAAAGAAGCACCCACCATTGATTTTTCTCAACTCTTCCACAAGGCAGCATGCTTCCTCTTGAACACACTCCTCAATGCTTCTCTTCCCTATCCCCATATTCCTCAAAGTCATGAGGGAGAAGCTCCGCATCTCTTTCCATGATTCTCCATTGCAGAAAACAATTCCTGAAAAAAGGAGATCAGAAATTAGAAGGGAGATAGCTGGCAAAGAAGAAGGAACTGGACTGGTAGAGTGGCTCAAGAGTTAGAGTACCTACATATAAAGTGTGAGGACCAGGGTTCAAACCCCAGTACTGACAAGTCATAGCCACATGAATTGCCAAAGGTGGCATGAAGAGCTCGTCAAATCTCTGTGTTCAATCCTCCTTATCTCCATGACCACAAACCAACACCCATGCTCACACACATGTACATGCAGATTTACCAAATCCTTTATTGATTTTTTCCAAAGTTGCAGAGTTGCTTCTTCCAGAAAACTTCTCTCCAAAATTAATCAGAGCTTCCTTCACGGCTTCATATCCATACAATACCACTGTGGGATTCATGCCCAAATATATAGTGAACACAGGGCCATAGATGTTTGAAAACTGAAAATAGGAAAATAAATGGTATTATTAACAAAAGATGTCATGTTTGATCCAAACATTGTCCCTGAATTTTACTGTTATTATCATTTTATTTTGTACATTTTCATTTTATCACACACAGCTTCAAGTATCTTTGAATTCATACATAAAATGAATGGACTATGATGTGCCATGCAATAACCACAGCAAATAGCACACAGATCACAACAAATCCTTACCTCAACACATTCAGCAGGAGTATTTTTCCTGTTCTCAAGAAATAAAACTGAGGTCAACAATTCCAAATTCATTTCCTGTTTCTCACAGCTAATATCCAGAATGCCCAGCTTAAATCTTTGCTTATTCAATATTCATTGCTCAAGCAATTTATCACCTTCTATGCTCACCTCTACAACAATACACAGATCATTTCTTCAGGATCATTTATTAAGCTCTTCCAAAGGAGGTCCTAACTCAGTAACCCAGTGATGAAGACCAGAAAGCTGTGTAAATGCAGGCAATTGTGCTGCTCAGCCCAATGGGGTTTCTTGCTATTACCAACACAGATGGTGGGCAACACAAAAGTAGCACCAGTAAATACATCAGCTCCTAGAAGAATGATATTTTCCACTCTGCAGCATTCTTGGCCTTAGACAAATTATTTGTGCAAATCCTAAAGGATTCTTACCCCAATAATTGGGTTCTAACCATTGCTTAATTCTTTCATTCTTTATACTGTCCAAGGTCATAGTTATATATTGAAACCATATATAAGTTTACTTTTTTAGAGTTTTATTTTCATGGCAGTTCTGAAGAGAAAATGTTTATATGGTACATGACTCACATAAATGTTTGTCTAATCACAAACACTTCCTTTATCATTGAGCTTCAAGCAAACACCATAGCAAAAGAACTTAAAGAACGGAAGGTGCATCATAATTTTGCCACTTGTGATATTGACTCTACTAAGCAAGAATCCAAATGTTTATCTACTTACAAAATGTGTTATTGCATTTGATGATTTCTAACTATGAAAAACTTGAAAGTAGCTACATCAAGATTTGCAGAAAATATTTTGCTTACAATCATGAATTATAATATTGTGCTTCCAGCACAGTATTTCCTTTGAAAATAAGGTTCAACTTATTTCCCTTTGAAAGAGTGGAAAGTAAAACATACATACCTTTGTTAAGGATTTACTGAAATTTTTAAAATCAATCTGCAAGGAATTTCCAATAATTGGAAGAGCAGTGGGGCCAGGAGGGAGTTTCCCTCTCCCAGAGTTCTGTCTCCAGACTGAAAGAAGAAGCAAACAGGAGAGACCAATTACCAGGACCACGAGTAGCTCCATTGAAGTCTTGTTACTGAGACAACTTTGAGTTTGTGATCCAGACCTTTTATAATGCTCCCTCTAATTCAATAGGTGCTCTTGAACACATAAGTGACAAATCAGCTCCATGTACTTTAGTCCTTCCTCTGCATGAACTTTCTACCAATAGCATATATATACATGTATATATATATATTTACATGTATATTTATATGTATATATGTATGTATGTATATATATATATATATATATATATATATATATATATATATAAATGAAGTAGTCATTGGTCTCATTTTTTTTCCAAGGCCTGCCCTAGAGATCATGGATAAATTGTACTGGGTATTTTGCCAGGTACTGGCAAAAAAAAACACCAATTGTTTCCAATACACAGCCATGGTTGAGACATACACAAGTTAATAAATAAACATTTGTTAATAATTATACAAAATGGAGGTCAGAAAATTTGTGTTTATAACCTTCAGAATATGTGTAATCACAAGTTTTGGTGAGCCCTTTCTTCAAAGCAAAACAAATGACAATTCACTGCCCTACTCACAAGCTCTGAACAATAAGAAAAATACATCAAATTATTTTTCACAAAATAAGCTTAGTTGCTCTCTCTAGAGCAATCATTTTACTCCTTTAGAGATGCTTGTCCCTGTTGTGTTCATCCACCATTCTGCTGAAGTAGGGCTCCTGCCTGAACCTTTCCTCTAATAGAAAGAAAGAATCATAGAGAATTTAAATGTAGACTGGATCTTTAAGATCAAGTAGTCAAAACATGGTTCTCATTTTAAAGAATGGTCAATTGAGGCAGTGAAAAAGGGTCACCAATGCATCAATAAAAAAAACTTTGTCTCAAAATCCTGGATTTCCAACTACAGTTAGGTATTATCTCAAATCCCATTAAATAGAATTCTAATCCCAGACCAAATACTCAGAAGGTTTTCAGAATTAAGGCCCCCAAGATTCACAGAGTACTGTAAACTTCAGATTGGTTAGAATAATAAAGTGTTTTTCATTTTCAATAGAAATTATTTTAGGGAAGATTTAGATTCACAGCAAAACTCAGGGGAATTACATTCCGCTCTCCATACAACTTCTCCTACAATCGACCTCTGTCACCAGCATGATTCATTAGAACAAATCAGTGAATCAATATTGGCACATCATCATTCAATATAAATGATCTTATGGAATATACAGTGTGAAATCTTTCTGAAGTGTATTTTTGGATTTGCTTTGTGTTTGGGTTGTGCTAGAGTTTGAACTCAAGGCATCACACTTGCTAAGCAGGTGATCTACCATGTGAGCCATTCTGCCAGCGCACATTTTGGGTTTTGACTAAGGTATAATGACTTTTATCCAGAATTGCACTAACGTATCAATAAGTCTCCACTGCCTTAGAAATCATCTGTGATTTCCCTCTCTTCTTTCAAAGCCATTAGTAACAAATGATGTTTTTAGTGACACCATAGTTGTGCATTTTCCAGATATTTATAGTTGGAATCATAAAGTACGTAGCCTTTTAAGATTGTTTTTTCCCACTGGTGATATGTATAAGGATGTTCCATGTTTTTTCATGTGATTTGATTTTAACAACAAATAATGCTGCATTGGATGGTTTACCTCAGTTTGCTCATACATTGGCCTATTGATGGGCTTCTTATTTGTTTCCAATGATTGGAAATGATACAGTTACTGTAAATAGCCATATGAAGGGTTGTGTAGACATCATTATAAGTCATTTGTATAAATACAAATGAGCACAACTGTTGGATCATATGATTAAGTGTTACACTTTCATTTAAACTCCCTACCCTGAAGTAATGTATTCTCTCCAAATAGCTGATGAACTTTCTGTAAGGGGAGTTGCAGTTGAGCAGGAACCATGAAAGAAGGAAAAATTCGTAATAGTGATGAAAAACTGAGGTTTTCCAGGAATAGGAGTTGAAATGAACATAACCAAACACACACAAAAAAAAAACATACATACACATACTCACACAAACACGCTTCACACTTCACATTCATGGATACATTTATGAATATTCTCATGCACACCAGCACATGGACACCTCTCAAACACTCAGGTGTACTTGCAAACACTCACACAAATTTACCCTGTCACATGGTGCAGAAGTGTAGTGTTCACGAATTCACATGTGTCGTTCTACATGGCCTCACATCCTAGTGTCTAGCTCTGAGTAATAAAATTATCTTCCTAAGGAACCTGATTTTGTGCTGAGAGAAGAAACCCATTCTCTGAAGCAGTAAAGCATGTGCCCATGGTTGAGTTTGCCCAGAGAACAGGAATGTTAACTCTCAAAGTCTTAGGTATAGGAGAGTCAGAAGCCTGAGTCTTCTCGTAAGTGGTGAGTTCTGTGTTGTTACTGAGCAACCAGGGATCCATGTGTCCTTCATGGGAATCTGTTGTGCCGTAGTATTTCTGTTTTACATTTGCAACACTTAAAACAATTTTAACAGTTTTTATATTAGTCTTTTCATTGCTGTGAAAAAATTCCTGACATAAGTACTTTAAAGGAAAGAAAGATTTATTTTGACTCATAGTTTCAAATTCATCATGGCAAAAAAGCATGGTTGAGCAACATCACTCATCTCATAGCTGCCAGGAAGCAGAGAGAAAGGGGTCTGATAAAAGATGCACAGTCCAAAAACACACCTCTAGTTACCTACTCTCTCCACTTAGGCCCTACCTTCACAAGTTTTCAGAACCTGCAAAATAGCACCATCAGCTAGAGACCAGTGTCCAACATAGGAGCATTTTGGGGAATAATTTATATACAAAACATAACATTCTTCCTCTACCTCCCCAAAGCTCATGTCCAAGAGTCCCTATAATCTTATAGGGACTTATGATTTTGAATCATAATTCAAAATGTATTCATCCCATGTCCAAGAGTCCCTATAATCTTAACAGTTCTAGCATTGCTCAAAATTCCAAGTTCAAAAACCCTGTGGTACTGTAGGCAATCCCCTAGCTATGACCCCTTGTACAGCCAAAAAGAATTATATACTTCCAATATACAATGTCACAGAGTAAAGAAACATTTCCCATTGGAATGGGATCCAAAAAGACCAAAAAGCATTGGGCTAAATATAAAATCCTTTAGAGCCTGTCCTGCATCTGTGGCATGTGGTGGTATGACACGAGTGCCCAAGGGCTTGAGCAACCCCATCCCTATTACCTTGATGTTTGCAGCCCATATGGTTCTCTCTTGGCCTGTCTTCATTTATTTCCTCCAGCCTTCCTTGGCAGACATTCCATATTCCTGTCATCTCTGACTTCCTGTGCTCTATGATCCTTCCTTGGCTTCATGCACACAGCTTTGCATACTGCCCTCTAAAGAGATCCCTACAAGGAACCTAACCCTCTCACACATTGCCTTGCATCTCAGGCTTTTCTTTGAAATCTGGGTAGAGCCTCCAGGAATGCATAATTCCTGTATCCTTCATGCCTTTAAAACCAGCCACATTTGGATGACGCCAGGGGCTTTTATTTGCTAGAACAGTAGCTGGACAGCATCTGGATTCTAGGTCCCCAGTGAAATCTTCCCTTGGTAAATATGGCTCTGCAGTAGCCAAGCACCCCAGAGTACTCTTCTCAAAGCAGTCATCCAAGTGGGCTTAAACCCTTTTATTTCTTAGTTTTCTATTCTATTCTACTGGTCTTTGTATCTGTTTTTGTGTCCATGTTGTGCTGTGTTTGCTATTGTGCTGTATAATGTAATTTGAAGTCTGGTATTGTGATACCTCTAGTGGTTTTCTTTTTTGCTCAGAATTTCTTTTACTACTTGGGGTCTTTTATGCATCCATATAAATTTCAGGATTGATTTTTCTATTTTTGCAAGGAATGACATTCATATTTTGGTGGGTTTAATTTCATTGAGATGAAACTGTAGATTGCTTTTGGTAGTATGGCCATTTTCAAGAGATTAATTTTACCAATACATAAACATGGAAGATCTTTCCATCTTCTGATGTCTTCAATATCTCTCTTCAAGGTTTTATAGTTTTCATTGTAGATATTTTTTACCTCTTTCCTTAAATTTATACCTAGGTATTTTTTAGGTTAATGTGAATGGGATTGTTTCATGATTTCTTTCTCACCCTTTTCACTGTTGACATATAGAAGAAGTACTGATTATTGTATGCTGATTTAATATCATGTACATTTCCAAAAAGTGCTTATTAGTGTTTATGGAATATTATGTTGAGGTAATTCTTTCTATTCCTAGTTCTTCAGAGTTTTAAGTATAGAATCATGTTTTCTGAAAATAGGAATAATTTGCCTTATTATTATCCAATTTGAATCCCTTTTATTTCTTTCCCTTCCTTTATTGGTCTGACTAAGAATTCCAGCACTGTACTGAATAAGAGTGGGGAGAGTGCAGACCATTGTCAGATAGAGAGGAACTCTTATACACCGTCAGTTGGAAATGTAAGTTGGTTCAGCTGTTAGCCATGAATGATGGGTAAGGCAGGAGAGTTAGGTGAGGAATATCATCTAAATAATACTCATTATTTTTATAAATATTAAAAGGGCCAAACTCAGACATTGGAAGGGGAAGTAAAAACTAAAACACCAGAGAAACTAAACCCCTCCCATATCCTTTCAGATGTTAACTTGCAAGACTAGAGAAATATAAAGGAATTATCTTCATCTCCCTTCCTCTTTGAGATGTTAACAAACTTCAAGACTCTTTGAATGGGTAAAGTGACAGAAAGAATGAAAAGCATGTTTAGAAAAGGGAAATCCTAAAATATACCTATTGTTCCCGTGATTTGTGTAGGCCACGATGACATCTCCCTGTTTTAGTGCCCATCTTATCCATGCATATGCATTATCTTAATGATTAGAGGTTGTTAGACATAACTATGTGTTTTCTCCCAGGTCAAAAGCATAAGACTAGGTATTAAAGATCACCATTTTGAGTCTTTATCACAGTTTCTGCATGGGGGACAGGCAGTGTTTCCCTTTTATCCCATGTCTCTCC